AGCACACGTTCAAACGCAAAGCAGAGTGAACGTCAATCTTTTAATTCAGTACCCTTGTAATGGGCATATTAGCCATTACCCCTTCAAATAAATCCAGCTCATTCAAAATTATTTGCAAAGAAGGAAAATCATTTTATATATGCCAAAATTACCCCCAATTCATTGAAACCCATTTCAACTCCAATTTCATATTTACACCCTAATTTAGCTCAATTTCATCAATTAACCAATTTTAACCCTAATTTTAATTTTGACTCCAATTTTGACCCGCCACCACCAGAGACCGCCGGTCGCCGCCGGTCTCCGGCGTTGACCTTTTTTTTTTTTGGAAAACTTTTTTTTTTCCGGTAGGTTAACTGCGGCGTTGACTTTTATTTTTTTTATTATTTTATTTTATAATTTTGTTTTTTCTTAAAAAATAGTTTAATTAATATTACTGTCTTGGCTGCTAAATTACTATCTCCAGCAGTTATTTAACTGTCGGAGACAGTAATTTAACTGTTAATTGACTTTTTTTTTTCTTAATTTTTTTTTTAATTAATATTACTGTCTTCGATGCTAAATTACTGTCTCCAACAGTTATTTAACTGTCGGAGACAGTAATTTAATTGTTAATTGACCTTTTTTTAAAATGTTTTAATTAATATTATTGTATTCGTTGCTAAATTGTCTCCAGCAGTTATTTAATTGTCGGAGACGGTAATTTAACTGTTAATTGACTTTTTTATTCTTAAAAAAATATTTTTAATTAATATTACTGTATTCGTTGCTAAATTATTGTCTCCACCAGTTATTTGACTGTCAGAGATAGTATTTTAACTGTTAATTGATTATTATTTTTTTTGAAATTTTATTTCTTAAAAAAAATTATTTTAATTAATATTACTGCCTTGGCTGCTAAATTACTGCTTCCAACAGTAATTTAATTGCCTTAGACAATAATGTTACTGTTCGGGAAAATAATATTCATAATATTACTATCGCAAACAGTAATATTACTGTTTGAGACAGTAATTTAGTAGTCAACACAGTAATATTAATTAAAATATTTTTTTCTCAGAAAAAAAAAATTGAAAAAAAAAAGCAACGCTAGAGATCGGCGGTCAACGGTGGTTGACCGACCAGAAAAAAATTTCAGGAAAAAAAACAGTTTTCAAAAAAAAAAAAAAAAGACGCCGGAATCTGGCCGGAAATAAATTTCAGGAAAAAAAATTATTTTCTGAAAAAAAAAATTGAGGCTTAATGTGATATATTTGTTTAAATCCGGGGTCAAGTGTAATATTAAGGAAGTTAGAGCATAATGGATGGAATTGATAAGCATTATATTATGGAGGGTATTTTAGACTAAAAACATGGAGATGGGTTTAATTGAGAGACTGTTTTTCTTGTGGACCGACGTGGAGAATACTAGTAATATTGAACTTTGTCATATCAGTTCGCACAGTGTCTAATATATCTTGAGCATCCGCATCCCTGTAGCCACTCCCATTGTTGATTACATAAGCCAAGTTTTTGGAATCTGTCTCAAAAATTAATTTCTCTCTGTCTTCTTTCTTCGGAAAAAGTTTTAAGCACCACACCAAACTATTCGAAAAGGCCTGTAGCTCTCCTACATTGGTTTTGCCCGATGTGTTTTTCCAAACTTGTTTATGAAGCACCTCCCCGAGGTGGTTTCTGATTACGGCACCACTGCCCTCACCCGTAAGAATTGATTTTTTACGATACGGCCCTGACTTGTAGACTTTGATTTATCCTTAATCTCCACAAACTTGGCTGAATAATCCGTCGATATTTTGAGTTTTCCCATCGGTGGGGCTTCCCACTTGAGACCCAATAGCAAGAATAAAAACATAAAAATTTTAATCAATTTTTATTCAAAATAAAAATGAATAAACAAATCAAAACCTGAGCTGATGAAATGCGGTGGGGATGAATACAGAAAAAGAGAACCTTGGGGGCGGGCTCGGAAGGATGGAGCGGAGGGTTGCTGGAGGAGATCGGAGCTTCGGGGGAGATCTTGGCGGAGTAATGACGGATGTAGGGAGACGAGATTCCAAACATTCTCCGAATAGCTAACATTGTCATCGGGATGGAGTGAACGCCGATTGAGGCAGAGTTGTCGCGAGAAGAGAGGAGGGTTTTAGGGGGTTCGGGTTTTTATGTTGTGGGACTAGGGTTTTTCTTAATAGACTATCTCATATCATTTAATATACTAGCACACTAGTATAGTTTTACTATGGATCTCGTTAATCGACTATGGGCCTAAGAATGAACAAAACCCTAGATTTGAGAAGTGATGGCGGCGGATGGGTCTTTTAAAATTAATAGACTATCCCATATCTTTTAATATACTATCCCATGTATCTAATGCGACTATGGGTTTAGTTGATTGACTATTGGAAAAATAATAATAAATATGGAAACTGAATTAAACAAGACTACGAACGATTTTTTAATGTACTACCCAGCACACTTAAATCGGCTGCTATAAACAAATAAAGCAACTATCGATTGGGATGAAAAACTCACTCGACCACAGCGGACAATTATTCCGATTATTGCATAAACCAACTACGAAGCTCATATAAAACAACTCTGGTCCGATCT